GTTAGGAGAAAGCTAGGGGCGGCCAAATCAAAACACGGTAGAAATCCATGAAGTCACTGATAAGTAGACTGAGTCATGTCGGTAGGTGTCGACTGCCTGGTTGGGGCCCGCGAGATGATAGTGATCGATGGTTAGAAACCCTGAATGACACGGCTCAAAACCTTGTGCAATGCCACAGGTGTATTCATATTTTGTGTTCTCTCAAATCCTAACCTTCTTAATTCCTCATCACCTTTATCTTCCTCTTTTTAAGTTTCTTTCACTAGATTGTACTTCTTGAATAATATCGTCGAACTTTGATCTCTCGGATTACTGCTAATACCTTTACTACCTCTACTATTGTGATTTGAGTTGACAATTACATCTCTGTGCTAATGTGGTATGACAACCTGAATTGATGTACTTACGTACGAAGTTCTACGTTGTTTTTGACTGACTGACTGACTAAGTAATTTTAATCGCACATCAGGTCTTATTTAATCACATTTAATTCACTCAAAGTGATATTTCAACTATCCGCCTGAATATATAGATCAGTTTAGTGGTTAATAAATTAGGAAGTTTCAGTCTCTATAAAAAATCTAGCTTCATTGTATTTTAATACAACAATTTCAAGATGTCCACTTTTGATTAGTAACTTTCTCAGTGTTCCATGCTATCAGTCAAGTGACTGAATTAAATAAGTAGTACAAATAACTTGTAATTTATGCTATATAGTGAAATAACATAATTAGTTGTTTTAAATTATTAAATAAAACATTCCTAGGTATGTTCGTTGAATAACTCTCCATTTTCGTACAACTATATGTTATCAACTTGACTAAGAAAAATCGAAGAATATCAAATAAACATGAAACAGACATTTCCAAATATATATATATATATATTTGAAATAATTAATCAATCATCATTGTTAGACCACCATTAGAAACCTGGAAGCACCGGACGGCCGTTTCGTCCTAGTATGGGACTCCTCAGCAGTGCGCATCCACGACTCCTGCTCCTCGCAGGATTCGAACCCGGGACCTTTGGCATTGTAGGCGAACGCCTTACCATCGGACCACTGGGCCGGCATCCAACGGTGGTAATGTCTAACTCTGATTGATCTAGGGATTTTTGCGCGACCTCACCCATTTGTCTTTGGTAGTTACTGCCTACACCCGACAGGGTTGAACTCCACTGGTCACTTCTTCTCGTATATATATATATATATATATATATATATATATATATATATATAACAGAATGTCACATTGAAAGTTCAATTCAACTCAACTTTTATATGACAAAAATTTGAATTTTTCTTCCTAACCTTATCACAATAATTAATCATGATCACGTCCATCATATCTACACGAAAGAACATATAGTTCCAACTTTAAACACTACAACATAAAGGACAATGCTTATGATCTTTACCAGTTTTGAACTGAGAAATTAAGAAAGGATGAGCGAAAATAATTTTTTTTTAGAAAAAAATTGTTTATTAAATTTTTCTCCCGAATATTTTCCTTCTTTAGTCAGGTGAAGGTTAAAAGAAATAAAAGTATCGCCTAGAGGTTTTTTCGTTTATTTTTCGTAAATTTCTCCAAAAAAAAGAATGTAGTAACTATAGGTAAAGATTTTTCACAGGAAAAAAAAATCCATTTTTCACACTAACTACTCGATTAAAAATATTGCATCATGGGAGATGATTGTGTTTACAAGTGGAATTTATTTAAGACTTATAACATGTTCTCAATATGTAACAGATATTTGTCAGTCATTAAATGACCAATTAATAATTGTTTTACTGTCCTATGCAAACAAGTGCATATTTCAAACTGTGAAGTTGTTAACCTTGTGAATAATACCAATGGTGGAAACTTGATGAACAAGGGATCATGACAGTGGAGTACTGAAATACTAATTTATAAGATTTGTACAAAATTAAAAAAAAACAACATGAAATATTAAAAATTTACAAAGATATTCTTGTATATAACTATTTTTTTAATTGCATTGCGGAGTTGTGAAGATTGTTAAGTCACAAATTTTAAATAATGAATCGATCAATGTAAGACCACTTTTAAAAATCTGGAAGCACTGGACGGGCGTTTCGTCCTGGTATGGGACTCCTCAGCAGTGCGCATCCATGACTCCTGCACCTCACAGGATTCGAACCCAAGACCTTCGGTCTTGCGCCCGAACGCCTAACCTCTGGACAACTGAGCCGGTACCTAACGGTGTTAATGTTTAACTTCGATCAATTCACGGGGTTGCGCAACCTCATACACAGTGTTCGGTAGTTACTATCTACACCTGAACAGGTTGAACTTCACTGGTCACGACTTTCCACTAGAGGAACTAGAAGATTCCTCACGGAGCTAGTCACTAGTAAGCACAGGTAATTACATCAAGGGGTTATGAAGATTGTTAAGTTGCACACTTTGAAACCATTTTTTTATTTGTAATAGATAATTAAATATCATTTTATAACGTAAATTTGTTTTTCATGTTAGTAGCATTTTACTCAAAAATACATGTTACTCTTAAAGATTGGGGGTAGGTGATAGTTCATCTAAATTTTTTTCAATGACATGCATTCAGTAATTCATTGGTCTATCATTCTTACTATCTGAAGGCTTTTATTAAAAAAAAACACCTATTTTTAGACGGGATGCCATAAAACATATTTCAGTTATATTTATTTTTTCAATTAGAGTTATGGGGATTAGTGTTTTTACACATTTGAAATCATCAATCACTGATTGTTAAACAGCTATTAGAAACCTGGAAGCACTGGACGGCCGTTTTGTCCTGGTATGGGGTTCATCAGGTTAGGCGTTCGCGCGCCAGACCGAAGGTCCCGGGGTTCGAATCCTGCCAGGTGCTGGAGTCATGGATACGCACTGTTGATGAGTCCCATACCAGGACGAAACGGCCGTCCAGTGCTTCCAGGTTTCTAATAGCGGTTTAACAATGATTGATTGATGATTTCAAATTTATATATATTCATAATTCTTATTTTATTGTTACAGCTACTATGATAGATTAACTTTACAATAAGCTTTGCGTTTTGCAAAGCCGTTTTCACGACGTAAAAGCACAAAATAATACAGAAAGAGGTAATTGTTAACGTTAAGCTAAATACAAATAGTTTAGCTTCGATAACTTTATTCTTACCAGCAATAGAAACATAAAATTTTATATGACTTTTCCTGAGTATGAACAGTGATGTTAAACCTAATGTGAATTTTTTTCATCTATGAATAGTTTTTTTTTATTCATGACAAGGCATTACTTTAATTTGTAGCAAATCAGTTCTAACATATTTTCTAGTTAGCGTTATTTTAGCTAGTTAGTTTTCTGTGGGTTGGAGTAGCCAACCCTACGGCCGAGTCTCCTATCTTATCCGGGCTTGGGACCGGCAACAGCCCTGGAGGAGCCTAAAGTGTAAGTAAGTAAATCCATTCTTTTTAAAATCAATTCTTATGACGGACTTATTAAGAAGTTTTCAGCGGTATTCGACAATAGTAAACGGAAAAAAAACAGAACGATGAACGATTTATTGCACTAATATTCCGATACTGAAAGAAAGACGATTAGAAAATGAACAGTTAAAATTGTTCTGTAAAATTATGACCATTTAACGACGAAACACTTCTTTTTTTCCCACAATTTATAATTTCAGCCTTTGATGTTTACCTCAATATATGTAGGATCCAAACTGAGGAATAACTGTCTACGTAGTTAAGATACGCGCCTTACCCAGTTTAATTCAAAACAAGTGATTTGGGGAAGTGACGGTACTACTATTCATCATAAATATGAATGTACATCATTACTTAAACAAATATTACCAATCGGTTATTCCACCAACAATCGTTCAATTAATCAATTACACAACAGTAAATAAATGTTATTCTATCCCTCATGGATAGATCAGATTCCTTCAAAAGATAATATTTGGTCGCTTTATAACAAAGATTGTTTCTTATTCCGGAAGGGTGCTTCAATTCACAATCAAAATGCACAATTCCAGTCAGTGCAACCATTCCAATCAAAAGAGGAACAAATCAATATGGCTGTTGCCATGACTAAGCATCAGCTTAAACAACGTAAATGCAGTTCAGAAAGAAACATAGAAACCATAACGAAAATACAAATATTATCATCTCAAATTGGATCGAACAGACTAACAAAATGTACAACTGAAGGAATCAATAAGAACAAATTACAAATGTATTTATATGGAGGGATTTTCACAAACAAAGCCTTCAAAAAATGGATCTTATAAGTATATAATCAAATTTATGATATCACTTTTCCACGTATGCAATGTAAATGATATGAACAAATTATGTTATTCTGAATTATAAATTTACTCATTTTTTTTTCTGTAATTTTGTGCATTCTAACTAGTATAAATATAATGTTCCCTAGCTGTACAATACAGTATAATAGATCACTGACTAAAACTGTTGTTAGTCATTAGTTCAGTTTTAACCAATAGTATATACTAAAAATACGTTGATATCGAATAGATCATGTGTTTTTTTTCGCATTATTAAGATTTATGTTCAAAAATTTTAAATGTTCCTATAAAAACGGACAACCAACCAAAATATACATTGAATAATTACAACATGATTGGTGATTCATAATTAATTTTGTTGGTTTAGGGTAAAAAACAATATATATATATATATATATATATCACCAAAGTTTAAATCCTAAGAAAAAAAATTCCGGGTATTCAATGTTACGGATTTTAAATGTTTCTCATTTAATTGTTTTAACATAATCGGCCATGTCTACCGAAATATTTGTTTTCGCATTCATGATTGGTCAATTCTAACTGGCCAATAATCGTGCTTGCAGGAGTATTATTCATTGGATGAAATCTAGACTCCATAGAAATCACAGTTTATCGGATAAATTAAAATTAAATATTCTATTTGGATAATTTGATGGTTTTTAAATAAATTTCTTTATTTTTGTCCAATTCGTGTACAGTTTTCCGCTTTCTGTTATTATGTAGAAGATGAACGTATTAATTATGTCAAATAACAAAAATCTTATTCAGAATACCGCTTATTTGATTTCTTGTTCTCTAACTAGTTTAGACTAGGCTGCCGTGTAATAAAAGATAGTTGTGTGCAAGTACTATCCAAAGTAATATCTGTTCATTGTTTAACAATAAATGGAGGGAAATTTATTTCACAACTATGGTTTACATTATTTAATATGACGTAGTTATCTGCATTTTGACGATTTACCTGTAGAAATATGATGTGACAATAACTTGAAATTCAAAACAATACGGATAAACCTGCAATAAAAAGCAAACCAACAATATCATGGATAACACGGAAGTGAATTTCCCATATCCTGAGAATTATAAAAACTGGATATTATGGCGTAATTCTACACTTCTCTTGTTAATTCTTTGCACTGGCATTTTTATATCAACTGATATTTACACTATATCTGTTGGAAAACATATTTTAGATTGGAATTATAATCATATTGGTGAGACATCAAAATTATTTAAAAGAGCCATAGAAAATATGATTGGAATAGAGAAAGATAAAGACCGTGGTGTATTAGATTTAATGAATGATCAATCAACACATTGGAATGTTAACAGTAATGATGATGAAATAAATAAAACTTTAATAAAACCATACTACTCAAATAGTTTGCATAAAATAAAAAATCTTATGTATAATATTAAAAGAACATGTTTGAATACGGAGTCTATTGATTGGAATATGATGTTTTGGAGAGACAAAGGATACTTTCGTAGTGAACGTAAGTTTCGCTTCATTTAATAAAAAAGAACTCTGTGGCAATAACTTTTTGGTATAATTTTTATAATTCCATTGATGAGGATAGTTTATAGATCTGATGATTGTTTTCGATGGTTATTGGTTCATTTCACTAAATGGTTTAATTCTGGAAGTTTTGATATTATTTTAAACAAGGTTATCAGAATTTATTTATAAGGGAAATTAGGTAGGCTCTTTAACAGTGCTGATAATTAGTTTGATATCTGTTTTAAAATCTATTATGTGCATGCATGAACTAGGCACAAAGTAAACTTTTTAGGACGAATGAAAGTTCTGCTATTAAATTATTCTGTACAGAGAACACATGGTCATTTAAAACTACTTGTAAGATATTGATCAACACAACTAATGATATGCATTTCTCCACACGTATCCATCAATGAACACTCGTGAATACATGGCAGACAAATCCTAATCATCGAACAGATGTGTATAATAAAATATTGATTTTTTACTTTCATTGTGAGTTACATTTTACATTACATGCAATGAACTTATTGATTACTGATCAGCGGTACTTCGCATATTGATTATTTGTTCAAATAGAACATGATTTATGTTAACATGTATTCACGGCTGAAATACTCAAATACATTAGAGAAATTAGTATTCATTCCGTCATTTTCAAAAAAATTCAAATTAATCAATGCGGAAATTATCTAGTTGTGTCATTTAATACATACAGGAATCAGTTAATAAGTCTGATTCAATTTCTCTTTTTTATTTTATTACAATTTTAATAATTTTTTTCAAACAGACAGACTATGAAAAGACCGACTAGAATTTGTTGTTAACAACATAAGAGAAAGAGTGTATCGAAATTGTGTTGACGAAGGTAATAATAATTATATCTCGGCAGTTCACTGATATGCACAGATAGAAGATAGAAGGAAAGGATTGCGATTAAGATGAAAAGCATACAATGCCTGCCTACACAAAATAATGACTTGAAAAAATAAATATTGATTGTTACTTTCAGGGGAATTAAGTACTCATTTTTATTGATTTATGGTTGTGTTAGTCAATATGATTGTTATTCTCTGTTATATATATATATTTTTTTGCAACAAGTTAATTTCACTGTTGAATATTTAAATAAAAATGAAAAAAATAGCATACCTAGAGATGTTTAAAAAAAGTTACAATGTTTTTTAAAAACCTACATGATTTGAAGAGCTTATTTTAGTTGACTGTGACTTGATGAAATTTTTAAACTTTTCTTTTGTGATTTATTCGAATGTTCATTAAGAAAATCAATACTTTCAACCTTAATGAATCTGTTCACTCAATCAGAAGTAAACTAATTGACATGCCTAATGAGATAGAATGTTATTGATAGAATTGTTCAATCGTCTGATCTTGCTTGTTTTCATCGCTTCCAATGTGTAGCATATATCTCAAATTGCTGGTTAGGCCCACAGTACGAATTTCGGTAGTATCAACGATAAGCCACCTTGTTTAACTAACAGATTTCGCCTACCTTTTTCAGCAGAATAAGTTTTAAAGTAAATATGAGAAATCTTTACACATGCTTACTTGTCATGTATACATACATATTTAAGCCAGGTAATAATAATTGTTAAAGCAAAGAGTTAAACAATCAGTCATAAATAACGCACAAAAAGTGACCAAATATGACTTTATTACAGAATTGGAATTGAAGTGTTTAAAAAAAGAATGTTAGATAGTTTATCATTTAGAAAAAACACATAGAAAATACAATGCAATAAACTTGAGCATAAAATATAATCGGAATCAATAACTTCGTTGTTTTAAAATAGATTGTATCACAAAAAGACCATCATAATTATACTTATTCAGTTTATCTAACAGTTACATTGCAAATTGATCAGTAGGATTTGATAAGCAACATACACGAACAACCTAGGATTAGTAATCTTCATTATATTAGGAAAAGTAACCTAGGAAAAAGATCAAATTATAAATATAACTCAAACTCAACTATTGTAAAACTGATTTCTTTTTTTTTCAAATAAAATTATAATAATTATATCCTGGTGAACAAGATGGGAAAGAAAAAACTACTTATAAACAGTAGTAACAGTAGTATGATAGAATCTTGTGCTTTAGTAGTTGTAAAAATATAAAACAAGATTTTATTTTTCCATTGTTTGCCAACTTTTTAGTTATTTTATGATTTAAATTAGTCTACTAAACTGAAAGATATTGAAAATGATTTTACACTATATATTACTTATTTCCAGATAATCTTTGAAAAATCACGTTCATGTTTTCCTCCAGTTATGATTCAGTGTCAATGTTTTTTCAGTAATAGACAATGAGAAAAAAAGGATAAAAGCAAAAGTATTGTGTTCTAATGTCACATAAGATTGAAATTAAAGTAATAAAGCTGAAAGAATTCATTCTTTGTTGATCTAATTTTGAGGTATTTAGTAGAATTTCGCTCAAGAATGTAAATAGACATATTATCATAATTGATTTATGAGTTCGTAGGGTTCTGGTTAAACAGATAACCTATTTATTGATAATAGGGACTTTTCAGATCAAGGAGTCCTGTACTAAGACGGCCTCTAGCGCTTCCAGATTTCCAATGGCAGTTTAACTTTGATTTATTCATGATTTAAATAGAAATAACAAGGACTCGAACAGTTCAGTAATAACATCTGTGACTATTCTAGTAGATCGAAATGACTCAAGTCCTAGTTGTCACCTCAAACATATCCACTTATTTCAACAAAAACCTGTCAAACCTGTTTTTTAGTCTGTAACACTGCTTCGAATGTCGATGTCAATACCAAGGTTGGTCAAGATACTTTCAAATAAACTGAGCATTGGGTAGCGAGTTAATAATAATAATATATAATAATTTTATTATTACTGCATAAATTTGTTTGAGTTCATCAAGTTACTGATTTGACAATTGAATCACAACAGATAGTTTGTTTATAATGGACCATAACTGATTCGAGCTACAAACGGTTCTTTCTTAAATGATACAGTAATGAGACATATTGACCTCTTGGTTGCTCTTTATTTCATTTCGGATAGGCATATACATATCTGTCATCAGTTATCTATTAAAGTATGCTGATTTAAGTTTTAATTTGAAGCAATGATACATTTTAATTTCATTTAACAACAGTTAACAATCAGTTACAATATACCATAATTCCTAATTGATTAGGTTTTAATGTGAAGTTCCAGTGCTTAATTGTGAAATTTACTGGCAACACCTAGTCACCTGATAGGTAATAATGTTTTAGAAATCACTATCCTGGTTTGGTTTTATGCATAAACATATAGATTATTCCCAGATCGTTGTTGAATAACGACAACTCTTTGGATACAGATAAAACTAACTCTGTAGTCACATAGATTCGTTAATGGTCAGTCAGTCAGTCGGTCAGTTACAACGTAGAACTTTGTACGTACGTACATAAGTTCATGTTGTTATACCATATTAGCACAGGCATGCAATTGTCATTTCAAATCCCACTGTGGTAGAGATATTAAAAGTATTTAGCTTTAATGGAGATTAAGGGTTGAAGAAATTATTCAAGAAATATATTTCAGTGAAATAAATTTAGAAATACAAAGATAAAGGTGATAAGGAATTCAGAAGATTAGAATTTGAGAGAACACAAAGAGTGGCTGCACCTGCGCCATTGTAAACGATTTTGAGTCATGTCGTACACTTCATTAACGAACCCACAAAGGATTCGTATTCACATGTACAATTTTCTCGGAAAAAAATCAGCTACCCATTAACCTTTTCAATATTAATGTAAAACTATTTTCCATAACTATATCACTTAAATTAAACACTCATTGACAATCTTTCATATATACTATCTCTCTTGTAAATCTGAAAATCATTTATTTTTCTAACTCTAAAATTAAATTTGTGTTCATTTATCATGGAGATAAAACACATTTACAATCGTTTCCTGAATGATTACTTAAAATTATCAATTGTTTTTTTCAAATTTCAATATGAACGAACATAGCAATGATATAAATCAACTATAGATTGCTTTGTCCAATAAAGCGAATGTCATATTTCAATAATATCTCTTATATATATATATATATATATATATATATATATATATATATGTATATATATATATATGTATATATATATATATATGTATATATATATATATGTATATATATATATATGTATATATATATATATGTATATATATATATATATATTCCCTATCTATTCTGTAATGTTGTACACACACAGTAAAATACGAATTTTCCTTTTTCAATATTACATATTATTTATTGAACTGCATGAAATAATTTTAAACAAATGTAATTTGTTTACACTAAATAAATTACCTGATAGTTTTTATTCTTTTTTTTTGTTGAAAAATTATTTCTGTGATTAATGTGTCACTAACTACAGTCTAATTGCTTTGTTTGTTTGTTTTTTCTTTTTCGGTACAATCATTCAAAATTCACGTTTTGTTTTATATTTTAAACAACATATTCATGATCATTTGAAAAATAAACACGAACAAACTTGATTCTTTATAATATAATTCATAAATGGCAAATTTTCATTATCATAATGTAAGTAGATGAAAAAATACACTTACTGACATCAGAAGTATGAACTAGGCAATGATGAATTGATTGTTAATAATTGAACATTGAAACAATAAAGAAATGCAACCTCGGGATATGTGTACATCCGTTCGAGTTCATACATCATCACAATAATAGAGATAGATGAAATTATTAAGGCAAGTACCAGAGTAGTGAAAATGATACCAAGTACCAGTGTTATTTGAAAAGATCATGCAAAAACTATTTGATCCAAGAGGAAATTATAAATTTGTGTAATAAAAGTAAAGGATTACTTAAAAATTTAAGATATAGGAGAATATAAAGAGTGAATGGATGTGTGCCATTAAAACCGTCCTTATAACATATCATCTAACTATTTTATTTACTACGCCATAGCTT